GGATAAAATTGATTCGCCGTTGGATCAAATTCGTTAGTATGATCCAACGATTAAAAGATAGACTTCACATAAGGACTATATATAATACCCTCATCATAGAATGACTCATGTACCAATAGGTTAAGCTCTGGACCCAGTTCTCCCATTATAGATATAGAAAATCAGAATAGGACCCATTGTTTACCAAACACACCATCACGTTTCTCCCTGGGGTTTTTGTTTTTGTTTTTTTTTGTCAATAAGTTTCTCCCAGGTTCAGTGAACCTAACAATTGACCAATTAAAATAATCCAATGCCAATTAAAATTTACAATTATGTGTGTCATATTCTATCAAATTAAATGGGTCACCTTATTTGATAAATTTAAAAAAGGTAAAAAAGGTGAACTTCTCATCTAAGAACACTTTTTAGGGTATTAAATCTCCAATCCTAACCACAATTTGAGGTGTCAGGTTTTGGGTGGTATGATTCTTACACAAATATATTTACATAAAGATTTTTGTTAGCGTCAATTGCTTACGCATGCATACGTAAATAATTACTAGACAAAACTTTTTTTTATGGTTAACTATGAAATCACTAATCCTAAGTTCCTAACAACCATTTGAGGTGTTTAATTGATTTTAAAAAATAAAGAAAAGAAACTCGGTCTATATACTAGTACCGATAGAATGTTGCTCCTTATGAATTATCTATACTCGTGGATAGACCATTTTTCTTCTCTTTTTTTCCCTTTATTTGGCTTTTGTCTTAGTGCATGCATTCCAAAACATAACCTGATGGATGAAGTCAACTATGATTTATGTGTTAAAAGATAAAGGCACACTTCGCCATCCTGTTGATGATTGTAAACTATGCTGAATGGACACTCCACTAAGCTTAAGTGTCGGATGTTCGGACACTCTTTGGACATTTGTGTCCAACGGTTAACGTCTTGTTCACGATCAATACACTCTTCATACATAGTCAGGACACTCTCTGAACACGGATCAACTCACTCAAGGTCAACTGATGTGTTCATTCATATAAAAATAATAAACTACATTTGAAATGCTTGGAAAACTTGAATTCCACTATATATAGGTATTGTGAAATTGGAGTATGAACATCAATATATATATATATATATTATTATAAATTATTATGTTTTAATTGCCGAGTCCCAGTATCCTTGTTTTTTGAAATTTGCCGTTTCCCCGTGTCATCGTATTCGTGTCCATACAACATAGATTATAAAGTTAACCTAATTATTATTATGTTTTAATTGCCGAGTCCCAGTATCCTTGTTTTTTGAAATTTGCCGTTTCCCCGTGTCATCGTATTCGTGTCCATACAACATAGATTATAAAGTTAACCTAATTTGCACAATTTTTTTGTTTTAAATTTAATCTTATCAATTCGAAGAGATTCGGTAACATAAAACAAATTGGAGAAAAGGATTTGGCTTACTGATTCGTCATATCATGTAAGAAATTAGGTTGATTGTCACGCAAAAGAAAAATAACTTTTGATATCTAAGGTGCCCTTTTATGAAATTTTTTTGTCTCCACCACTAATGACTAATTAAAAGAATAAAATTATTGCGAAAAATAAACCAAGAATAAAAGTGTAAGAGAGGCATGGCTATACCAACTTGTGAAGAATGACTACTATCTAATAGATCATCTTAAAAACCAAGAATATAAGAGCATCCATAGTGGGAGGGTGTAAAGTCACTTGTACATCCCCTTTATACCTTTAGGTGTAGTAAATATGATTTTTGTTCTAGTGAGGAAGATGTATAATTGATTTCTTTCACCTTTTTTTGCTGTACGTCCCACATTTGTTTACTTTTTCCCACATTTTCTCATGTAAGTCCTACATGCAAGAGATGTAAAAAAGGATGTACATGTGCATCTAAATTTACATCTCATGGTGGTGATGCAAATTTACACTCGTTTATACCTCTCTATTGCAGATGATTCTGATCACAAATGGTGTATATTTAACATACACCTCATTATACACCCTCCCACTGTGGATGCTCTAAGTGTAAGAGTGGCATGGCTATACCAACTTGTGAAGAATGACTACTATCTAGTAGATCTCAAAGATGAGACAGATTGATTGGACAATCAATATAAGAGAGAAAATATAAGTACAAGAATACATCTCATGCTTCCTTGAGCAAGTTAATGAGTTTGACTTAATTGTTGTTTTAGTAATTTCGTCTGGATTTGAGGCGTGACAATACCTCTTTTAATACACATATGAGACTAAGTCCTCCTTTATATAGTCATAGATGAACGAACCATGTAGGAGCCCACTATATGTCCAAATTATACACAGATGTTGTCCTCACCATAACCACCTAGGTCCAATACTTTAGGTGAGATTAGGCTCAATGGACCTCTACCTGTGGCGTTTTATCTTAAAAGGCTTTGGTGCAGTTATGAGTCGACCACATATATTTGAACTATAGATTATTATTGTATTCTTCAATATGGGACTTACACATCATGGCTTGTATTGAGCAACATACATCAACAATCTCCACATTGACGAGATCCAAGCCAAGGTAATCCAACCGTTACAACACTCAAACTTTTCGAGGATGACGTGGTCCCTGCAACTCAACCTCTACAGACAATAATTTCTTAAGTCTTGCTAGAAGCCCTTGCTCCACTTAAGCCTAGAATTTTCTCAAGCCTTGTTAGGAGCCCTTGCTTCACCTAGTTAGCCACCCCTAGGATTTCCTTGAGCCTTTTCACCACTAGCCCTTACTCTATTAACCCGCTCAACCTTTATCCATATGTGTAAGAATTTGCTTAAGTTACCTCTCCAACTTGAACCAAATGCATTGTAGCCGAATCATGCTATGATATCAATTGTTATAGGAGATCAAGGACTATATTTCTTAACACCTTCCCAATAATCTCCCACACCCAACTTAGGTGAAGGGCTCACCATCGCTTCAACTTCTTAAAGTCTATCTCGACTCGAGATGCCGTGTTGTAAATATTGCAAATGAACCATTAATCTTGACCTTGTCCCATCTACACATAACCCAAATCATAATGTGGTCCTAGCTCATGTGTAGTATATTAAAAAATTCTTGATGAGGATGTAGTTCTTTATAGGAGTAATTTCTTTTATTAAAAAAAACAAACATCCTATTATTTTTTTCTCCTACAATATCTTCAATCTTCACATATGCAACACATGCGAATAATTCTAATATTATTATAACGAGAAGAGGCCATGTCCGTCATTATAAGGTAACTGTCAAATTATGAGCCCTTAATTATATTAAATCATTATTATAAAGAAATTGTAATTAGAAATCACTACAATTTCATTAAACATACTTTGTACTCCCATGTCATGTTTTTCCTCTCTTTTTGGTATACCTTAGATTGGATGAGTGTTTCTTATAGTAAGAGAGTGAATAGGGAAGTAATTAGTAAAATTAACATTATATTACTAATTACTTAATTGGAAAATGACAAATAATATTATTTGATTATCTTAATTAGCAAAGAGAATTCTCTTAATTAATAGTCTAAATAAATAAAGGGACCTCTTTTGTCTACTTACACACCCTTTTATTTTTGTTACATTGGAGGAAAGAAACCTCACTAGGGTTCGATCATGTGTACCATTGGCACTGCTATGGGGTGGAGGGGGAATCCACCATCATAGTGGTGGGAACCCATTGGCCACTCCTTTTGTTTTTAAGAGCATCTACAATGGGCTACCTAAATCACCTCCTTAGACAAATTTTAGGGAGGCATTTTAAAAATGCAACTCCAACCACGCTCCCTATCCACCTCCTAAAATAGGGAGTCCTCTAGGAGCTTCTAAATCTGAGGAGAAAGAAAGGACTCCTAGTGGCTCCCTATAATTTAATGCTGCCTTATTTAATGAGTATTTCAAACCTTTATTTAATGCTAACTATTTTTTATTTTATTTTTTAATAGAGATGAACCAATCAAAAAAGAGTTATAGCATTTATGACTCTCCAAATTATGGAGTATGGTTGGAGTTGAAATTTTTTAAAGAGCTCCTAAAATAGCTTTCTTATATTTTTAGCTAAATTTTAGTTAAGAAATAGAGAGCATAATTGCGGATGCTCTAAGTACTTTTGTAATTACATTAAATGACCGTATAAATAGACAAAAGGAGAGTAAAAAAATCATCACCCTAAAGGCTGCGTTTGGTTCATGGGAAAGGAATCTTGGGCATGGGAAATCAATTCATTTCCCATGTTTGGTAAGTCAGGCATGGGAAAACGATTCCTAGCACATGGGAAAGTAGGAGGGAAAGTGAATCCTTCCTTCCTCCTTGGGTTTCACTTTCCCTTCCCATGGGAAAGTAAAACTAGCATTAAATACAATTTTTTTTGACTAATTTGTCCTTACTAACAATTCATAATTACAATTTTTATCCAACAATTATTGGTATTCTTTTTTTTTTTAATAGAGGTACAATTGGGAAACTAAACAAAATTTGTTTTTCATTCCTACTCAAAACAAACATGGGAAATGAAATAAAGTGATATTTCCGGATCACTTTTCCGGCATTACCAAACATGGGAAAGGAATCAACATTTCCCATCCCTTGGGAAATGACATGGGAAATGATTTCCCATCAAATTCATTCCGTGAACCAAACGGAAATAAAAAGACAATAATGATACGACTACTAAATTTAAGACAGGAAATTTGTAATTGTGGTCACCGGGGTCACCTGCCCGTCAGCTTATCACAACCCACCGCTGAGGCCTATGGTGTGAGATGCGTCATAATTAGGGCATGACATGCGAGATCCCGTATAAAACTGCAGGCCATTTAATCTTGAACGACAACAGCAATTGTTCCCAATACGCGCGGCAATGTCTTAAGTCATAAACAGTGTTTATATTGCCCCACAATTTTCAACCCTATCCACTCCCACTATATTAATAATAATAAATAATTGAATTAATTTTTTTTATAAAAAAAAGAAAAGGCGTTTTCTTAGCTCAGCTGGGGACGGAGCGAGGACTATGGAGAAGAGTGAGCAGGTCTTTCTCATTTCATTTCTTCTCCTTCAAACTAGTCTTCTCTTTCTCTCTCTAGAAAGTTCACGTTGCTACAGTACATTTGTATGACGAGATTGCCCTCCACTTTCTTAGCGAATTCCGAGCCTATCCTCGTCTTCTTCTCAGATTCTACCAACAGTCAAAGATCCTCTGCTGATCAACTTCTCCTTCTCCATATTTTCATGGAACACCTGCTGACTTGAGCTTCCTATGGATTTGACCGAGGGCGTCGGAGAGAGCTCGTCACCGCCTCGAAGCTTCGTCATCTTCGGCAACTACGATGTGCGAAACGACGTGTACAACCGCTTGTTGGAGAGCGGTAATGAAGACGCTTTGACTCAACCTGATTTTCGTGAGCAGTTGGACGCTCACTTCAATCGCTTGCCGGCTAGGTATTCCAATTCGATCGCTTTCCTTTCCAGTATTGGAATTAGTTTTTTATTTCTTTATTTGGCTTCAACGAATTTCGGCTGTTGATTTTATTTCTGAAACTAGTGCTTTATTTTTAATTTTTCCAGTATGAATCTTCGTGAAGCTTAGATTAGAGTCTCAATGATGATTCAAACGTGATTGATCTCTTGAGTTGTGGAAGATAATAATATGCATGCCGAGCAGTTTTGGGAAAGTTTTTAATCTTTGAAAATTTCCATTTTCTTATATGTTCTATTCTTGGTACCGTACGGCATACGGCTTTACTTTTGAAGCCTTAAGTTTTGAGATGGAAATGTTTTTTATACGTTATTTTCTTCCCTATATATCTGCTGACTATGTAACCAGTGTAGTAGCTTACGTTTTACAAATTCTTTGTGTGTACGAGTGGAAATTAGTTCCACAGCCAATTTTTCTGATTCTTGTTTGAATGGAAAAATACTATTCTTCTTGGAAATACTTTTCGGGGAGGCACAAACCTTTTACTTAGGTTTGTCAAGAAATACTATCCAAGGCAAAGACAGTCAAACCTTTCCAGTCCTTAGTTATGTTGAAGCTTTGGTTAAAACATAAGTGGAAAGTATATTCACTAGAGTTTCCAAGAAGTTCTCCACTGGAGAACTTCATAAGAGCCATATGATAAAGGCTTTTTCTTTTCTTTTTCGTGTGAGGGGAGGGGGAGTGAACTTAGTTCATGTCTTATGTGCTTCCCAATTTATTTCCTGCACATACTCCATTGGAACAAACGGGGCCATAGGATATTGTTTTTATCTTTTTTTTTTATAAGGGTGATGAACCTATTTCCACGTTTTTTTTTTGCTGCGCAGTTATGGGCTTGATGTTAACTTGGATAGAGTGGAAGATGTCTTATTGCATCAAAAGCTTCTTGCATTGGCAAAAGACCCAGAGAAGCGGCCTGTTTATCATATCCGTTTCATGGAGGTATTGAATGAAATGACATTTAGCCAAAGAAAAAAGAGAAGATTTCATATAGCCAAAGCATGATTTAAGTTTACTTAGCATTAAAACTTACCGCCTTTTAGTCTGATATGATTTTGCTTACTAGCTGTTGTATTGGAAATATTATTGTTACTCTTGCTTCCATTGGGGTAAATCTGACGCTTCACCTGTTCCATATGAGTTATTTTGAAAGAGAACATATTTCTTAATAGTGGGTTCAGGGAAAAGAATTGGAATGGTCATTTCCCTATACCGTTGACCAGGATCTGGATCTATTACAATGTGTAGTAATATATGCATGTTGTTGCATGTATTGACTGTCACTTTCTGTAAAGAAGTTTTGAACTACACTTGGAAATAGGATTTCAAAGAATCTTGTAAGCATGTGAAACTTTGATGTTATTTCCAATGTCAAATTAATACTTTTTTTCTTCTGACCGTTTTATCTATTACAAAGCTCCCCACAATTTTGTTAATTTCTATGGATCTTTGTGTATTTCTGGTCAGAATACTTCTACGAAAACAGATGATGACGATGATGATGATAATGATGGCCAACAAGTTACTAGTATCGTTTCAACCCCAAGGCTATCATGTGATGAAGCTAATGAAGGAGCTGCTCAGTCACATGACAGGTATTGTACCTGTGTTGTACTCTGTCTGAAATGCTTTTCTTGCCATATTTATTGCTGTTAAGGGTTTCAGTGACTGCATTGGGTGATTGTGGGTTTCATTTCTTTATTTCTTATTTATTCCATTTCTGTGAGTAGAGCTAGGAATTGTGCAATTGACTCTAAGCTTGGGGACCTAAATTTGGATGTTAGAACGAATGCTACGGACATGGATGGAAGAGATCTGACAGAGAGTTTTCCCCCAAGGTACTTAACAAAATATTGTTGGCATGTTTTTTGTTCAAGACTAAACACTTTTGTAATTCATCAAAGCAAGAATTTGTTTATTGTCAGATCAATGGTTACCATTTCATACTTCAATTGTTGCAATATGTTGGTTTTGTGGTATTTATTTCTTTGGGTTTATTTATCTATTTAATAATTGTTGACTTGCAATCACATTCTGGTATCTAACCAATAACAACTAAAATGAAAGGGCACAATGGAAACATATTAGATATGTAGAGCAACTGGTCATAAATGGTCCTGGTCCCGAATTCTTTTCAGATACTTTTTGTAGTAAATCTTTATTTGAAAGGTTGGTCGGTTGTCGTGGATGCATCATTAGTATAACAAAATGGGGAGTGGATGCATCATTTGTTTTTGTATAGAACATTGGAGTTGGTTGAGTTATGGAGTAAATTGTTATGTTCTGTGAAGGCAGTTCTGGTTTTGCTTTGTTTGACTTCTCATATTTTCAGTATAGGAGTTATTTAGAGTGAGCAATCGTAGAATGTTAAAGTATGTGACGAAGAATTTTGCCTTATTATGTGCTTCTGTTTCAAAGTTTTGGATTCAATTTCAGTAGCCTTCTATTCAGACGTTGGAAGACTTAAGACTTTCTTTCATACTTCTTTGACACGTGGTAGTGTTTATTAATATTGTATTGTTAGCAGAGGGTGGATTACCCGTCATCCTTTAATTATTTTGTACTGTTCCATTTCTGAGAGATTTTTATTTCTTATCAAACAAAAATTAGATAAAATATTTATTGAGAACTAAAGAAATATATTTTGTACGTGTTATTTTGAATTAATTATGTTGACATGTAATAAGCATGTATAGTTTGTCAGTCTTGCTTTCGAGGAAACCATGCATGTCCATAGATGGTATACACAGGTAGAAGAATATATAGATTATTATAAATAAACCCAATCCTAGACATGTATTTATAAAAAAACCCACACACTATTTATACATAGAAACACACCCAAAATCAACCCCAAAATCAACAATTGTATATTTTTTGGGTGTGTTTATAAATGGGTTTTGAGTGTGTGTAATGATGGGTTTTGGGTGTGTTTATAAAGTGTTTTGGGTGTTGGGTTTTTTTATAATTTCAGCCCCTATTTTGGGTGTTTTAGTGAAACTCCCAAGAATATATGTCAATTATGTACATAAATACATATGCATGCATAGGTAAAAACATATATGTATGAAATATTAGGCTAAAGGTCTTCTTTTCCAACTTAAACATAGAAAATGACATGCTGTATGTTGATATGAATGTTTTAGCAACGTATACCTATATTATAGTTTTTTTTTTTTCAATGTACAGAATCCAATAATGCTTTATCAGGTTCTTTGACACCAACTTTGTAATTTTGTTGCACAGTGAACATAATCTCTTTTTATTATTTTTTAAGACTGAACTTTGGCTTTATATTGAGAGATTGCATTTGCAGTTTGGGCTTCTCTTTCTCCAGCCTTTAGGATTGCAATTTTATTAGATTGGGGAGCTGCTACAGAATAATTTTTTGAGTTGTCTTACAATGTCAGAGGTGTAATATGGACTTCTGTTTTATGGGAATTAAATCATTTTTCTGGTAGACCTCTTGTTCACCAAGTCTTGTATTGTGTTCTTGACTTGATAAAATTTCATTTCTCTTAAAAAAAAAATTAAGTTCTCATCTGTGCAGAAATTATATTGACAATTGGGATGTATAATGCAGGCAAGATATACCACATGTTCCCATTCATGAAGTAATATTTTCAACCATTGACAAGCCTAAGCTTCTTAGCCAGGTATGACTGAGAAACTTAATTTATTTGTTTGTCTTTGGTAGCTTCATTACATGCAATACATTGTCTCCACTTAGCAGTCTCTTGGTTTTCACTAATTTCAATGTAAATGTGTTTAATACCTAATGCTTGTAACTTAAATCACTGTCTAATTTATTTACCTTTTTTAATGGACACCCCATCTAGCTTGTCCTTTATAAAGCTATGTCAAAGAATTTCTGTTTATGTAGATGTATACAAGTTTTTACCTACTTTTCAGATTTTTTTGGTAATCCTCATGCTTATGATCTTTTGAGTATACAGCTTCTATGGGGTTCTGTCTTGGAAAATTTTCAACGGATTTATTACTCCTTGGGAGAAAATATGATGTTGTCATGTGAACGTCTTTTCCATAGTACCTCACTGCGGAGCCCTTGGATTTGAAGATAATTTGAAAACCCTTTGCATTGGAAATGTTCTTTATCATGATTAATTCGTGTCATGAAGTTTCACATGGTTACTTTCTATCAATATAAATTTGCAGCCATCAAATTTTTGAAAAACTGGCAACTGAATTTAAGGGTTGCAGTAGTTAATATTGTGATTATTATTTATAAAAAGAGGAGTAATACTTCTTTTTTGAGAGAAGAATTCAGCACCTCTGATTCTAACAGATGTTGTCAAAGCCAGAGAACTGCAAAAGTGGAACCATACTAAGGACAACATCTTTCTAACAGATGTCATTTTCCTCTAGCTTTCTGCTTTGCTTTCTGATTTAGGACTTAACATCCGTGAAGCACATGTTTTTTCAACAACCGATGGCTACTCCTTAGATGTTTTTGTGGTGGATGGATGGCCTGATGAGGTACTTTTTTGCAATATAATGTGTTTATCATCATTCGCTGTCTGGGTTGCATGTTAGTTCTTTTTATGTATTACTATTGAGAAATGTCCAATATGTTGGTTGGCATTTGTTTTTGGGGGGGAGCCCCAGACAGTATGTCTTTACCCATTACACTTTTGTTCATTGTGTGTGGTTTTTGTTGTGATGCCATTATTATTTTCTATAATCTAAGCTGTTGCTGTGTTTTCTTCTTCTGTTTGCATCCCAATATTTGTGTTATAAGTATTGAGTTTAATCAAACAGGTTAAGCAAAAAAAACTGCAGTTTATCCAAAGAAAATGCTTTCGTAATATATTAAGGGGCATTGCGATTATATTTCTTTTATGACAGGGATCTGTGCTGAGTCCAAATGTTGCTGACTTTGCAATGTTGTGGTCAGGATACAGATGGTCTACATGAAGCTATGGAAAAGGCGGTTGCTAGAAGTGAGGTAAATTGTGTCACATTGTAATAGTAATAGAAGACTAATAAACAGTAATATGCAACTGTTGCTTGATAATTTAGGGGTCATGGTCAAGATCTTCGCATTCTCATTCGGCTGTGGAGAAAGCATTAGCGGCACAAGAAAAACCTGGAAACTGGGAAATAGACAGAAGACTATTAAAGATAGGAGACAGAATTGCATCTGGGTCATGTGGAGATTTGTAAGATAGGTTTTTATTGTTTTCACCTTTATTCTTTTATGGGCCTCTTCGCTGCTGAACCCTCTATTTCTGTTCATCCTAAGGTACCGCGGAATTTATATTGGTCAAGATGTTGCGGTTAAGATACTGAGGTCAGAGCATTTGAATGATGCTCTAGAGGATGAGTTTGCTCAAGAAGTGAAAATTCTGAGGTGAACCACTTTCTAGTTTTGATTGTTATTTTAATATTGGTTTCTGTTAGGGAATTCACATGAAATCACTCTTTACCTGATCTGTTGGGATCTCCTTTCCACTAGTAAATTTTTAAATATTTTCCCATTATTTCCTACAATTCTCCTGGTGAATTTAGCTTATAGTGGAAAGGATATAACAATTCTAAAATTTTCCGTCCTAATTCTGGTAAAAAGTTGGTAGTTCAAGTGCAATAGGGATAGGAAGGGATTTTGGAAGGTATAATTTATTTGTTCTTCCCAATCCCTAAGGACATTAAGGTCCTGGAAGTAGGTTTTTGCAGGGTTTGGCTGCCTTTTCAAGCTTAAAGAAATCATGATTTTTGTGGTCTCTATTTTTAGCCTATGTATCTAATTGTGACTCGTGATATGATCCAACATGAAATTTGGCATGACATGTTCACAGCTGTCAACCCATATTGTTGGTAGAAGTTACTCTGGTTTAAGATAAACTTCCATGCATGCTTTCATTTACTATGATTTATTTTCCTTTACATGTACTTGGGTGCTCACTGGTTAGTACAAATTATTTTTGAAGGCCATGAGTTTGTTAATTGCAAAAGTAAATTACACGTTACGCAGAAGAGAAAGTCAATCACAATAAAAGACAAAAATTATCTAGCACTAATTCTAGTAGCCTAATCGAAGCCTTCAAATTTTATCGTTTTTTGGTCATATTTTGCATGCTGCTTTATACTGTGGACAAGAACAATTCCTATATTGTCTAGGTGTCTTCCCCTTTCTGCCCCCTTGTAAACAACTCCACATTTTAACCGACTATAGATTTTGCAAATAAATTCCTTGCTTGATGGTAATATTTCTCTTACATCATGAATAATCTGAATATATTAAAATCCACATGCTTTTCACTGAGCATATCATTTGTTTCACCTTGATCTCCAATAAGTCATGCATCTACATGGATCTTCCGAGTACAAGTTTCTTATGCTACAGTATGAGGATATAAACAATTCATTGGGGGCAGCACAGATGCTTTCTCACTAATATCTGTGGGTCAAAACCGTGTCAACCTCTTTGCGCTTTTACTCTTTTAATTTCAACTATATCTCGTGGTCTATTGTAGCCACATAAAGTATGGAGTTCTGAAATTGTTTTCCCGTAAAAGCAGAATTATTTCCTTTGCAGTCCTTGATTTTCAATTCTAAAAGCCCATAAGTGTTGTTTTTTTTGTTGTTTCTAGTTTGTCATAGTCTGTTATTCTATTTTAGGTTGCCCTGTTCTCCTGGTCCACAGTGAGTTTATTGGGCAACAGCTGTTAGATTAAATCCAACGGTGGACAGCAGTCTAATTAATAAACTCAGTTTATAGTTTTTAATTTCATTTTTGTTTTCGAGAAGTAATTTTTAAAGCAATTTTTCAAAAACAAAACTGAAAGGACTTTCGCATCAGTACGCCTCCCAAGTTGGTAGAATTTTTTGTCTCCTTCAATTCTCTTATCCAATTTGGTATCTTTCTTCCCTCTTCTTCAAGCTTAACAATTCTTATCCATTTTGAACCCTTCGAAAATTATGACATTTCTCTAATCTGTATTTTGGCGTCCTTATCAATTTTTGCATATCAACTTTTCCATTCTTGATCACGCTTGGGAGAGAGATCTCTCCAATTGAATTCCCCCATCTGGTTTTGCACCATTGCTAGAAGAAAAGGAAATTTTCACACCAGATGCACATGTGCTGCTCTGTGAAAACTGGGCGAATGGTATAGAACATTGTTAGAGAAACCTTGTTAAAGAAAACAATGGGCTTATAGGAGAGTCTGGAATTTGGAGGGGATGAATTGGAATTTAGAAAGAAACGCGTGATTGCGCGAGAAAAGTGCAAGTTTCCTTTTTGAAGATTGCTTTAAAGATTTTTTACTGAAAAAAATAATGTTAAAAAATTATAAATTGAGTTTATTGTTTAGACTGTTGTCCACCGTTGGATTTGCAGTTGCCCAAGAAACTTCCTGGTCCCCATGGACCAGGAGAACGGGACTGTTAAGTTGGCATGCTTATTGCTATGAAGTCATTTCAAAATAAAATGCTAAGATAGTTTATACTCATTCTTAAATGCTGATATCTACATATATTCGTTTTGTGATTGCAGAGAGGTCCATCATAGGAATGTTGTGCGCTTTATCGGGGCATGTACGAAGTCTCCACATTTGTGCATAGTGACAGGTATGCAATTGGTTTTCTCCAGCATTTACTATAAATTTAAGTTAGCTTCTTTCATGTTTTATTCATTCTGTATCAAAATCTTACACGTGGAGATGTTCTCACAAGCAGTGCAACTAGGATAAGCAGAATAGGCATCAGGTGTACTTTCTTTTTTATTCATTTTTTAAGTGAAACCTAGTATATATATTTCCATGATTATAGAGTGAGAAAGTTTCATGAGTATCTCCACTAATATAAGCGGAGCCGACCATAAATTTCAATTTTTACTTTTCAGAAATCTTATTGGAACCAAGCTAAAATTTCTTCTTTAAGTATGCAGCATTCAAGGAGACTTTTCTTGTGTGTTCTGTATTCTACTTCCTCTAAGCTGTTTGGATGCCATGCCTTTTGGAGCTCCTAAATATGTGTAATTACAATATAGCCTTTGCATCTTGTTGTAACTTGTATGTTATGGTGCTTCATGGGGAATTAGGAATAGAAGGATATTTGGGAGAGCAAGGGATGAGGAGGTGGATCATTTGTGGGATGGAGTTCGTTTTTGGGTTTTCCTTTGGCATTGGTATCTTCAGACTTTAGGGATGGTTCTTTTCAGGGTATCTTTTATGATTGGAATGCGGCTTATTTTTTCGTTTTCATCTTGATTGCTTTCATGCAATATTTTGATGTTTAGATCTGTAGACGAGTATAATTAGTCCAGTGGACAACTTGTCCCCTGTATTGTACTGTTCTTTTTCTATTAATGAAAGTATGTTTCTATTAAAAAATAAAATGAATATAGTAATTTCATGGGGACTGAGCTCTAACGTGAAAAGCTTTTTCATGATGTTCAGGCAACAAAAACCATGCATTTCACTTGTTTGTTTTATGTCAATAAATAATTTTTGTTAGTGCTAAAAGATTATGTTGTGAATACAGCTTTGGTTGTTCGTTTGTCTCATTTTTGTTTTTTGTATATTCATGTAGTCAAAGCAGCCATTTCAGTGAGAATGTAAAGAGGATCTGGAGGCCATTTCATTGAGGATAAACTAATAAGTTCTAAATCTAAGGAGGTTGGATCACCAAACTAACCTATGGCTGTGGCTGTGGCCGATTTTGGGTCTCCATCTTCTTTTTGAGAAAGTTGGTCCAGTTATCAGTGTTAATAGTAGTCATTCCTTACCAGATTAAGTTAAAATGCCACCATGAGCTGGGGTAGATTCCCGCGGGCAGTAGTCTATTTGGTTTAGGACATTTGTAGCTTCGTTTTCCATGGTTGTGTGAAGCAATTCCTTCCTTGAGTTGATCCAGTTCATGTTGAACTTAGTCATTGATTTCCCAATGAAGTTAAAATGGTTCCGTGGCTTGGGGAATGTTAGATATATGAAAATCATCTACATTATGCCTAGGCCCCCAAACTCATATTTCTTATGCATATATTGTACATTTGTTTTTGGAATTGTCTTATGTTTCCAGACTACATGTTCTAAGTAGTTAATTGACTCTCCACTTCTAACTAATGGAAGTTGTTTGTTTCCATTTTCCATCCTGTTGGTTCTTTTTTTTCCTTTCTTATGATAAAAATTATGAAAATTCATTTGTTACTGTTTTTGCTTGCAGAGTATATGCCCGGTGGAAGTCTCTATGATTATTTGCACAAGAATCATAATGTCTTGAAGCTTTCAGAACTGCTAAAGTTTGCAATTGATGTCTGCAAAGGAATGGAGTATTTGCATCGTAATAACATAATTCATAGGGATCTGAAGACAGCAAATCTGCTAATGGACACTAACAATGTAAGAACTAAAGGTTATTGTTTTGCTTGTTTTGCAGCTTCACTTATGAATAAATGCACAATGGTTAAGGTTTTGCTGATATGTAAATAGTTCAAAGTTTCTAGGTTTTGGGCGAAATGACAGCATATTAACTTGCAAATCAGAACTAGTGTTTCGAAGAATTGGTTTTCCCATGTATGAATTCTTAGCAATGTTATAATGCTCCGAGAAAGAGCAATTAATTTACTGAATCATGTATGTCATAGCCATTGGCTTTTCTTGAATTATAGGAGAGGTTGTTATCCCACTCTAGTACTAAAGTCACTTCTCTCATACTCGAGTGCTTTGAATCAGTTTTGTGGTCCTTTGAATTAGGAGGGTTTTACAAATGTAAAACTTCCTAGGCTTTTGGAGGGTAGCATGTTTGTTAGTGTGGTGTCTTACTTCATTATCCCTATCCGGTCCTGTCAATTTATGGTCTTCTGACTTCCATCTTCTCATCCTTAAAGAAGAAAAAAAGAAATCTAGGGCTTTGAATTACTAAGGGGCTAAGAAGTCATTGTATTTTCTCCTTTTTCATTTTTGCATTTCAGCTTTTAATGCTGAAGAAGAATAATTTCCTTCTTTACTAATGTATCTTATCCATTTTGAAATTGAAATGGGAGGTTATTACCATACAATTTTCATTTTCTTGAGATGGATCTCACATTTTATATGATTTATGAATCTTCCCATAAAATTTCTGGTCAAGTAGCTCTTTAGTAAAAAAAATGTTGAGAATTTTGTGGATCTCTAACAGTTCCCTTCAACCTCATTCAAGATAAGATTTGGTTCAATTTCTCCATATGCCGCGGGGAAAAGTAATTTCACCTGTTTTTACTGATTTCATCACAACCCTACCATTTGATTTTCAACTGAGCTGTTGTAGTAAAAGAGTTAAATCTGTTTAATATATTATCTTAGAGAAGTAATTACAAGTCTCTTTTTTTTGTCTGAAGTAAATACAAATCTTATCTTGACTATTGGTGGTAAACTAGTCTTCCAATATTAAAGTGTGGTATTCATGACTACTATATTTCTTTAATTTGTTTGTGTGCTATGTTTATGCTTAATTAGCCTACAGGGAAACAATAAAGTTCAAGAGATTTATATGTAATCTTTAATAATGGCTATAGCATTCTCAGGGGATGTTTTGCAGCTCTAGTTGATATAACTTGTGGTTATGGACCGACTGGAGTAACCAAATCATTTCTTTATATGGGGTAATAGTTTGATTGGGTTGAGGATTTTGGAATAAATACCTCTGCATGCATTGTGGTTTGAGGTGTGAAGTTTGATTGCGTGAAGGAGTTTAAATGTTCTTCAATCAGGAGCTGGATTTGATGTCTTTGAATTTAAATTAATGGTTAAACTGATACCTTCAAGATTTCATGAATGATGAAGTAATTAGATAATGGGCTTCAAGATGTCTAGTAGTGTAATTATACTTTCAACAAGTATCTTAATATTTTTAATAACTAAAACTAAAGTTCAATGTTAAACGTCAACATGTTTTTGTTTATTATAATGGGTAAACTGTTTTCTGGTTAGATTTCTAAGTATAAGTGTTGGACTCTCTGCTCTCATATCTTGGCAATTTTATCATTCAGTTCAGGAAATGTTCTCGATCCTTTTACCGTTAAAAAATCATTTTCTTATTTGCCTTTAGGTTGTAAAGGTGGCAGATTTTGGTGTTGCTCGGTTCCAAAATCAAGAGGGAGTAATGACAGCAGAGACTGGAACCTATAGATGGATGGCACCAGAGGTTTGTTTGATTATTCTGGTTCATTTTTCCTTCATTTTTCCTTTTTCAAGCTTTTAATCCATAGGAGATCAGTGATTGTTTGTAAATTCTTGACAGTGTCTTCTTGAAAATTAATGTCAAATCTTAAATCGTTGGACTTGGTTGAAAAAAAAATCCTTCCCCATCGTTTGTTTCAAGGACTTTTATTTCTTAAATTGATCTGGTGATGTGATCTATGAATAATTAGTTCATCATTAAGAATTGCCAGCAACCAGCCATATCGTAACCCCGTTGTTTGAGAAGAAGCAGGTTATGGTTTATTGAATTTCCTTTTTTGTTCTTGAGATGTTGACATTCTGGTCTTGTTTTCTCAGCACACTTTACTGTTAGTGCTTCATTATCTTAAGATAATGCACCAAGTTCCACAACATTAATTACATTCTCATTTCAACATCTCATTGCTTTCTTGCATTTTGCAAGGTTATCAATCATCAACCATATGATCAGAAAGCAGATGTGTTCAGTTTTGCGATTGTACTTTGGGAGCTAGTAACAGCCAAAGTATGCTCTAATGTTATATATATATATATATATATATATATCTCTCTCTCTCTCTCTCTCTCTCTCTCTCTCTCTCTCTCTCTTGTGTGTGAGGATGTGGAAGTTATTTTTAAATTGTGTATGATCTTGCTATTGCAGGTTCCATATGATACCATGACTCCGTTGCAAGCTGCCTTGGGAGTTAGACAGGTTTACATTTATTCATGTATAGATATGTTTTCTTTCTGTGTGTGCACACACATAATTTGCGACAGCACGGTTGTTGAACTTTGGCATTGTCTCAGTGTCAAATATCTGATTATGAACTATATGAGGTTTTAATTGAATATGTTGTCTGTAGAAACACTTGACATGGTTATCGTTGCCTCTTCATTTTCCCCCTAACCATCCTAAACGTTGATTTGTTGTCCATAATGTATTTCACATTCTTTGTGAAGTGCTCATGAATGTTCAATTCGATTTCATTCCCTTCCCTCCTCTTTTGGAAATTAAGGGTCACAATTTAGGATGGTGACCTTATAGAGATATGGCCGCATCTTACTTTCTGCTTAGGAAATCCTTTTAATCCTAACAGTTCATGCAACTTAATTCTAAATCTCGCTCTCTAGTATTTTTCCTGTTGACGGCCATGTCTGCATATATATTGCAGATTTTGGTAATTCTACATGATACGAAAGTTTTGAATTGATGATGTGTCTACTATCATGATTTCTACACACTAGGGTTTGAATTTCCTCTTATTCAAACTAAAGAAATGTAAGAAAAGGATCAGAACCAGAGAATATCAAATTTCTGTAGTATCAGATGCAACTTTCGTTGCTGATTTAAAATAGGCACAAGTATCTCTTGAAGAAAAAAAAAGGCATAAGTAATGCCCTTAAAAGTCAGTTAAACAATAAATACCAACTGGTTTGAGCTTTTGGCTCAACGTAATAGTTTATATGAATTGGTGCCTAAAAGTTATGCTTGACATTCTATTTCCCAGGGACTTAGACCGGATCTTCCCAGTACTGGACACCCAAAGCTGTTGGAATTAATGCAGAGATGTTGGGATGCAGATCCGTCCAATCGGCCTTCCTTCTCTGATATAATAGCTCAACTTGAATATCTCCTCCAAGAAGTTCAGGTAGGACAATCCCTCTCCTCGTTTTTTTCAGGTCTCATTGTCCCTCATTCTCTTGGCCCCACAGTGAACTAAGATACATGAAATCTCAGGAAATTTTGGAAGCTACCGATGGCGCTTGAGACGCCGGGCTTTAAGATGCGTGCATCTCAGGAAATTTCTGAAATTATCAAAACTTCTCTTTTTGCAACATTCCGACCGGCTCTTTTTTAGGCATTTGGGATTTGGATGAGGCTTTGTTTTCTCCGTTTGTTTTTCACATAAATATAGAGGCTATATTGTACAATCGAGGGAAAGAGAAAATCACAGAGACTGCAACACAATGTCGATAGTGCATGAAGGTCTGTATTGCCTGTTGTAAAACTCGTCTGTAAGCCAACACCCAGTTGAACGTCGATGTAAAGTTTTCTCTTTTTGAGTAATGGGGATGTATAAACTTCAGTAGATATGTACATCTAAGTAAGTAGAAAGATGGAGAAAAATAGGAGTTTGAAGAGGAGTGGATTGTATTGCAGTGCAGCTGTTTCAACTAGCGCACAATCTATTCTCGTGTATATTCCAGTTACAGTTTTCAGTTTGGTCAATTTCATTTTGCCTTTATTTGCTTCTAGCCTAGCCTAGATTTCTCATCATCTTTCTTGCTTGCGAGGTGTAAATGATTTATTTTCTTCTCTTATTTCCAAGAATATGCAAGCTAGCTGATTGATTAATGAATTTGATATTTATATTTTAGGAATTTGACAGTTGGTGCTCGTAACATTTTGGCCTTTCACTCCCTTTCTTATTTCCTCCTACTTTCTTTTGGGTCAGAAATTAACAACATGGTGCTTCGTTTAATGAAGGAAATCAAACAAATCTTTTTGTTAAGGAATGCATAGGGAAAATAAGCATAGGCTGAAAGCTACTAATTAAAATCGAAAGGTTATAACCATTTTTAGCTTTTAGCTTTTATAGTTAAAGATAGTCTTACCCTTAGAGAGCATCTCCCGTGGAAGGTTGTATAATGAGGTGTATGTTAAATATACACCATTTGCGATCGGTATTATCTGTAATGGGGAGGTGTAAACGATTGTAAATTTGCATCACAACCGTGAGATGCAAATTTAGATGCACATGTACATCCTTTTTTACATCCCTTACAAATTACATGAGAAAAAGTGAGAAAAGATAGACAAAAGTGTGCAAAATCAATTATACATTTTTAGATTTACATCTTCCCTATTAGAGCAAAAACCACATTTACAACCCCCGGAGGTATAAAGGATATGTAAAAGTGGCTTTACACCAACGAAAATACACCCCCTACTATGGATGTTCTGACGGTTATTTAACTTGGTGTGCACTAGTGCATGTAATAAACGAACCGGGTGAAGTTTGAGAGCAATAATATTAAAGATACCAAGTTTATATTATGCATGCAGCTTACCTTGAATAAGAAACCTACTACAACCTTACTTTGTATGGGGTTTAGAGCTCAAGTGATTATGAGTATTTGTCCATGCACTAAAGATCCTATGTTGGAATTCCCTCAACCCACAATCGCTTGTATAAAGAAAACAGTTTTAAACTTTACATTAACTTTAATAATGTAATAATTTTCACTCTCATTTTCTCATTTTACACTCTTGTTTTTGTCTTTTGATTCTCCTTAAATTTATTCACTCCTAAAGCTAGAAAACGAGGAATTAGTGAATGGGGAGAGGAGGGAATCAAATCAAACCTAAGACCTCGATGCAGAGATAAATGCTCTTAACCACTTAAGCTACCAGACCATTGCAAAATCCTTCCCTTGTAATATTATGGGATATGATCAATCTAAACATGCCTGCAATCAAGTTGCTGATTAAAGTATCTCATGACCTATTCAATCTAAGTTGGGGCAATGGGAACTTGAATGAAAGCCCGCTCAAGTTTGTTATAATAAATATCCTAAGTCATCATGCATCTCGTCTCATACTCCAACTTGAATAGTTATACAATTTTTTCTCACACCCAAATCCAAACTTTTGACTGAGAACCAGGCGTCATTGAGTTTGTTTATCTTCTTTATATTAGCGGTAAACGTTTTTAGTCGGCTTAAGATTCCATTCAATCATAAACCTCTGACTTTGGGAAACAAATATTTTCTTCATCTTCCCGATGAGTAACAAACATGTACGTATGGAAATGGGTTAGTGGGTTTTGTTTATTTACTTCACCCTCCTAGATTTCCGATTTCATGTCTTTTTTTCCCATGTTGTCCGGTGATCACCTACTTTGTAGTTTGTACCTTGTACTTTATTGGTTATCAAATTCGTCGTCCAACATGTTCTGTTTGTCAAAACCATTGACTTACAAATTAATTAACCTGAAATTTAAAAAAACAAAAACAAAAACAAAATGGAATTTGGCCTTCCATTTCCAATTTCCATGTGAGTCTTGGAGTGATAATCGGACACGCAAGAACATTTCCATGGTTGGCTCAGCTGCCGACAAATCCATTTACAGCTAAACCCAACCCAAAAAATAATGGGCGAAAACGAGGTACGACAAATTAAAATGATGAACAAAGTACATGTACAACGTTCACTTTTGTTTGTTTACTCTGTTGTTGCTTGCATGATATATTATAGTAAAAAATTATCGTGTGACTTTTCCGCTTTCTTTAGGGTAAATTTTGATTCTCTCGCCTTAAAAGGAAAACTGTTTTCATTTTTTACTATTAATTTGTCCAAATAGAAAACTAAAGCAAGTAGTCGATGTGAAAGTCTTTCATTCCTACCTTCCTAACACAGTGCCCTAAACTAGTTTTATTTAGACGTGTTTAGACTTTAGGACCTAAATAAAGATTATCTTTAGATTGTGACTTGATTGGATTTATTTATTTATTTATTTAGAGAAAGCGATAATATTTTAGTGATAAGATAAGAGGAGAAGTAACTAGTTAGTACAAAAACGGTGTCATATCGTCAAAGGTTAAGCGAATTTCTCTACGTATACGAGCTCACTTGTTAGTCTAAACTGAATACTTTAGGATCTAAATAAGTTAGAATAATGTGCCCTTCTATCACAATTTATTTATCTCTAGAGGAGAAACTGAAGTGTCTGATTCGTCAAGAAGAGATTGATCTTGACCTCAAGTGTATCGTTTCCAATAGTCAATCCGGACCCACTTCAATTATTTCATATCAACGATCAGTAATTGTCAAGAAAAAAAAAAATACAGTCTTTTCCCGTGTTTCCCGCACAAAACTACTACCATTAGCTTTGAGACTGGCAAAAATATATAGATAGCTGATTGAATCTGGCTGGAATGTTGGTAATGATACAATTTTGCTCCGAATATAAACAAACCAAAAAAAAAAAAAATTGTTTTTCATTTTAATTTCTAAGAAAACTGAATCGTATTGTACCAACGTTCCAGCCAGATTCAGTTCAACTTTCATATATATATATATATATATATCTACAAAGAGTGCTGCTAAACGAACCTTAAAATTAACTCATTGCATAGAATTGTTATTGAAGACAGAATGATGTGTAAATAGACTGCTAGTCACCTCACCTAGTGTACTTAGTTCATTTTAGGGTTCGTTTAACAACACTCTTGTACAAATTATACTTGTATGAAAAAAATAAATAAAAAATCTCATAAATCTTGACACATTATAATACCCATGGTCTCCTCTTGCAGATGGATGCACATGTGTTCAATGATCTAAATGAGAGACGACATTAAATACATACAATAATCTTGATGTAGAAGATCGAATCAAGATCAGAAGCTACCTAATCCACATGCACATTAATTAAGATTATATTTATTAGATTATCATATAACGAAATGGTTTAAGTTAATTAATTACAACTTGATGCTGAATACGACAGTTACAATGGAAACTCCAATTCCTTTTCGTTAAGGGCAATTGGTCAATGAGATGTTGTGACTGGCAAATTTTAACTTCTAGTCTGTGTAGGAACTTGACCATGCATGATGCATATGCATGTACATCATGTATTGTTGGCATGAGTTGGATGTATTATTTTTTGTTGCTTTGTAATTGACTTTTTTCAGTGTAATTATTAGGTTTTCCTTTTTTCGTATAGCATACCCCATACGTCATGTAACGTAACCTTAAATATTTGTCTTCAAACCAGTAGTCTCAAATTCGAAAAAGACTAAACATATATCGGACATGATGACGACCTGCATGCGTGCGTGATTGTGCCTATGAACAATTTTCAATTAGTATGATTATGTTACGTAAACGTAATTTACACATGTTCTGCAAAGAATCAAGTATCAATCAATATATCTACAAAATTTGGTGTTTATGTATATATTCAAAGTAGTGTATTCAATAAAAGAAGTAAAATCAAAACACAATTTGACACTGCGGCGGGTTTAATTGAAAACATATCATATCTAATGATGAAAAAAAATCTAACTATTCAAAAAAGAATGGCCATCATAGTTGACAATATAAAAGCTTAATTAATCGTCTACATTAATTCCCACAAATTATAATTTATTGGTTAAAGGAAAAGGCAGAAGAATAAACTTTAGGTATGCATATATGGACCACTACGAATGATCGACGGTCTTCTTTTTCCCTTTAAAAGTTTTAACACCAGATGATGAGATGATATTTGCTACTATAGTTTCTTTTTAGGTGTGTAGGAAAAAGGGACTATTCCATCTTTTTGCTTCTCTCTCTCTCTCTCCATCGATTTATCTTGATTCTTGGAGACCCATTTCCCAATACGCATTTTGTGTGTGTGTCCTTTTTCCAGAAGCTTGCTGCGAGCTGCGAAGAATTGCTCACATGTCTCTGTTCTTCTGACTGCAAGTGGAATTGTGTGGGAAAAAAGACAATCTCCAATTTACATTGGAATCTTTAAAATGCAATGTAAAAAGAACATCTGACAACGGACGAGACAATAACCACAAGAATCCAATGCAACGAAAACGAGTTCTCTATGGAAAATTCAAAATCAATTAGCAACATTTGATATTTTTATCACTACCTTTTTTAATACAGTTTAACTCAAAGCTGTACTATCATTACCTTTCTTAATACTTGACACGTGTTCATAGACATAAAAAAATACGGCATTCTGAAAAGCCATAATTACATTGCATAATAGCCTAAATTAATATGTCAATTCATTACTTACCATAAGAAAAAGGAAATATTGCATTCGTGAATTGGTGATCAGTAGAAATTTATTGTACCAGAGCTTTTGGAATAAGGGCGTCGAAAACCATTCAGTATAGTTACGGACTCTGACTCTGAGAATCTGACATATACAGAAATTGTCCATTTCCACTGACAGGGAAGATAGATAATTGCAACTCACGTGTAGGGCTTGTGAAGTTAAAAATTGTGTCTCTTCCAGCATAAACAAGAACAATGAAAAAAAAAAAACACTAACCACTTTCGATTTTAGGTTTAGGTTTTTTTTATTTTAAAATTTAAAATTCTATGATTTCATTTATAATTCAGCCAAAAAAACCACTAACCACAAAGTGTCAAATACAAACTCATCACAAAAGAGTCATTACAATAACAGAGCGGTCTAACATCAAAATTAAGACAATCTGGTGCGCCTCCACTAACGATCATGCATGATCGAAGAAACTCTGGTGTAGGCATCCTAACTAAGACTGAAAATTTAGAATAATAAAAAAGAAATAAATCTCAAAGAAACTAAGCCATAACAATACAAATAAAACTTTCACCAAAAAAAAAAATGATGAAAAATTCGAGATTTAGATTTAGAACTTAGGGCTCGTTTGAGACTGTTTGTTACTTTGTTTATATATCAAATCGAAAATAAAGTTAACGTTATCCACATGTAAAATATATGTAGGGTAGAATGCCCCTATTATCTTCCTACCAATCTCAAAAGACTTTAAACATCATTAAATTGATAATGTCCCCACAATTTGATTAAGAATCTGGACTTACACTTGTTGTACCCCACTATATCAGATTATGTCCCCATTCAATGCTTAATCGAACCAAACATTTTGTAGCATAGCATTTAAAATAACCAAAAAGAAATTAGGAAGAAAAAATAGAGGACAATTATTGAACTAATAACCACTTTCTACAATATTTTCTAGTGCAGGTGGAGCCTAATATTTAAATAAAATAAATAAAATAAATAAAAAAATAAAAACAACCCCCATTTTCGGTCACGATGACTGGCCAAATGAGGCAAATCCCCTCTGCTCAAAGTTTTATAAGTTTGAACGACAGCCATTGAAACAACTAATTTTCTGAAATTTCTCACCTCACTGTCTTGAGGATTTTTTATATATTTGATTTTACCAAACCTTCAAACGAAAATTGACAACCAAAGTAATATATTGGTGTGAAGAAAAGAAACGACAAAATATTTTCAATCAAATCGATCTCTGTTTGCATGACTACTATCATATCATATACAAATTTCTTACCAATCTCCACTATATTCACGACCGCCTTAAATTTGTATCCAATATTGAAGGCTATCCACGTATATGTAGATGGATATTAGTCACTTTCTATTGAGGGATTATTTAAAGAATTTTTTTTTTAACGGACATCATTTAGGGTACCTTATAATTTTTTTTTTTTAACGATCCAAAATATTTGTTTTTCACATCTTCATTCAAAGATCATCCGTGCAAAAAATCATGTAAATTGAAAATCATTAAGACATCTAATTGAGACCAACAAAATCAATACAAACGAATTAAATATACAGAATGAGCATTACAAGGATGTACCTCAATTATTTGAGAATCCTTCAACGGAATATATTATATATACACAAACATACACACCAAACTTTCTCTGATTTAAAGAACATGAATAACGTTATTGTCAAGCCACATAACTACTCACTCCACCATGCAAAGTTAATGAAATTGTAAGCAACTTCATTTCAAATTCCATTTACAAGATTACTTAAAAGGACAAGTACTGAATTACTCAAACACGTACTGCCATGGTGACCCCATAATACATAAATAAAATATCAAAATTTCAACCCACCAGATTTGAGAAAAACTTCAAAATTGATCGATTATTAAAATCTGAATGACATAAAGAAAACAAATCTAAAGTTGCTTTAAATACCAATCCCAAATCCTAAAATCTCTAAGAAATCTTTGAAAAATTTCCTAAAAACTTATTAAAATGATGCTCTCTAACCTAATATCGACCTTATTTGGAAGAAAAAAAATGCTATTATTATTAGAGAGAAGCAGTGAGTATGAATAAATGTAACTTGTAGCATGGGAAGAAGTAATTGGAAAATAAACACTGCTTCTTTAGAAGGAGACATTCTTACTTTGTGCAAATTACAGTTTGACATATTTGCAGATATTTTCGTTTTTGTGTTTTCAATGAATTATTTTCTAAGAGAAGAAAACAATTTTTTATTGAAAAAGCTCCAACTTAATTACAACCCAAAACTATAGATAACTGTGCACCGCCTTGCAGTGCATAGAATAACATAAGGGTATGATTTAAAAGTGTAGCGTTCTGAACTTGCTATGCCATGAATGTGTCTCAACTCCAAAGATTAGAAAATAAGAAGAAGACAAACTGAGCCGTGCCAGGGCACACTTGCTCTGCATTCCACCATTATTTGCAGGCTTTATTTGAAAAAAATTAAAATTTACTCACTTAAAGAAGAAAACATTTCTGATTCTGAACAATTATTGTACAACTTTTTCTATTTTTCCAAGAACGTTCTTGTCTTTTTTTTTTTGTCTAGAAATGAACCGAAGATGTTTAGCTCTGCACTGTTCGAGATGGCCTAAACACTTTAAATCCGGAAAAATGTAGTTTTTTTTCTTCCTAATTTTAGCCATTCATTTCCAATCAATTACGTATTAATAAACATGCCATCATTTCCATTCTACCGTTGGGAACTTTAAAAACCCAATAATAATTGTTACATCCGACAGAAACTTTGATGTAGTGAATATAGCTTTTTAATCGGAGAAAGCAGAATATATGCATGATACGGATATCCAGGTTGATTCCTTTTGTGACACGTTTTTAATTTAACATTGTCAATTTCATGGAGGGGCCCGTGCACTTTTTATCTGTCTAAATATTTTATAATTATTTATTTTACAGAAAGGGTTCAATTCAATCACCAGGAAAAGAAGAAAGAAATCTGAGAAAATTATAAGGAAAATTTGGGAAACGTATTTATTTTATTATTATGATGATCACCTCTCCGTTTGAAAGAAGGTTGAAATAAACGACAATACACATGGCATCTCTTTTGAGAAATATATAAAACAAAACAAGTGCACTACAACTGTCTAATAAAAATACATCATCTGCATAAATAAAAACGTTACATCAACTGCGGAGACTCGATCTTCATCTTTTTTGTAGGATAAGGCGCTTCGACTTCGACAGCCCCTTCTTTATTTTGACCTGGTCTTCACCTTACCTGCAATATGGACATGTTATTGTTAGGTCTCTGTCATTTGTCAATTTCTTACTAAATATATCAATTCATCCTCATCAGTAATGGCATTAACTTGGTTCCGATTCGCAGTGTAATTAACAATGTAAGTACTTGTTTGTTAAAATACAGATTCTCTGATAAGATAGTTACAGGCTGACAAGGTAATGTTAACTCAACTAATAAAAACAAGAATGGAGAGCTTACCAGCTGGATGCAGTCTAGCTCTCATTATCTAGTAGTGGTGAGGAGGTGGGGGTGATGAGTAGATGTAAGGGTGTGGTGGTGCGGTGTGAACTGGAGGAGTTGGTGGCTTGTATGGTTTCTTAGGTGGTGGGGGTGGTGAGTAAACTGGTGTGGGTGGTGGGGGAGACTTGTAGTGGTAAGGTTTCTTGGGCGGAGATGGTGGTGGTGGAGACTTGTAGTGGTATGGGTGCTTAGGTGGTGAAGGTGATGGTGGTGGGGGAGACTTGTAGTGGTAGGGGTGCTTAGGTGGTGAAGGTGGTGGTGGTGGTGGAGACTTGTAGTGGTAAGGATGCTTAGGGGGTGGTGGTGAGGGTGGTGGTGGAGACTTGTAGTGGTAAGGATGCTTAGGGGGTGGTGGTGGAGATTTGTAGTGGTAAGGATGCTTAGGTGGTGAGGGTGAGGGTGGTGGGGGAGACTTGTAGTGGTAAGGATGCTTAGGTGGTGGTGGTGAATGCACTGGGTGGTGCGGCTTCTTGTGTGGAGGAGGAGGAGGAGGAGATGAGTAGTGGTAAGGTTTCTTTGGTGGTGGTGGGGGTGGGGGAGATTTGTAGTGGTAAGGCTTCTTGGGTGGTGGTGGTGGGGATTTGTAGTAGTAAGGCTTCTTGGGTGGTGGTGGTGGGGATTTGTAGTGGTAAGGCTTCTTGGGTGGTGGTGGTGGGGATTTGTAGTGGTAAGGCGCCTTTGGTGGAGGAGGTGAATGTACTGGAGGAGGAGGAGGTGGTGGGGATTTGTAGTGGTAGGGATGCTTAGGTGGTGAGTAGTGCACTGGAGGAGGAGGTGAAGGGGGAGGTGGTGACTTGTAATGATAGGGAGGAGAAGCTGGTGGTGGAGGAGATGAGTAAGGGTAGTTTGCTGAGGTTTCTGATGGCAAACTGAGAGAAACTATAGCCACTAGGAGAGTGACCACAAGAGAAGTCACTGATGAAGATCCCATTTTCCCCATCTTTTTTGTTAAGAATGGGTTTTTGGTTTTCTGCCTCTTAAGCAAAGCCTCCCTCCCTTTATATAGCTTTGGTCTTTACCCTTAACTCTATGGTAATCATGCCAAGTTTCACTTGCCAATGATCAAATTATCTTAGTAAAAAACAAGATTAATGTTAAAATAACACTAATGGGCCAGCCTATGTTTGAACAGCTTATTAATTACAATATTTGACCAATGAAGCAGCCTTGACTGGATTTTGTTTAAGCCCCCACTTCTTAAAAAAATTTATATCTTTCTTAATGGAATAGAAGCTTCAAGGTAATTAAACACTAAAACAAGTCAGGAATATGTTAAGACTTCAGAAGGATGAATCCGCGATCTATTACTACGAAACAACATCGATATTATCTTCAATTTAATTACACATATAGATCGTGTGAAGTTTTATAAAAAAAAAGTTACTAGTAGTGAAATCACTCATATTCTTCTTCGACAGAATAAACCTATTATCACCAAAGGGTGTGACCTTTTTTACTTGAAGGCAATTTAATGCAATAAGAGTACGTGGGGGCAGAACATGAAGCTTTATTCAATAAAAGTATAATATCTAAACCACAAGTCTTCCCTTGTTTGTGTAATATTTCTCACGGTACGTAGACAACTTTGAAAAGTGTGTGTGGTTGGCCTAACTTTCTATGATTTTTGCTCTACACACAGGGACCAGGCGGCTGCAACTCTCTCTCTCTCTCTCTCTCTCTCTCTCTCTCAAATGATCCAAAGCTTTAGTACGTAGGCTGTCACATTCGCACAGCTTTAATTAATTTTCTGGAATTTCTCTGACTCTGGAGGTTTAAGATAAGCCCATTTGCCTTAATCATACAAGTTAAGGACTAATTAATCATTTACAAATACGAACTAGTTGTTCCAAAACAATTACCGATGACTAATAAAGAACGATAAAATGCTTAATTAAGCATGTTTAGTTAGGCATTAAATCGCATTATTCTGACCACCACAAGAATGAGAAAATACTTCTCCAAATTCCAGCTCGACAATGGAATAATCAATCCCACTTCATTTCAATTAACATGGTGAGCTGTTCAGATAATATTAATTATCTTTTTTGGTAGCAATTATTTTCCAAACAGTACCAGCAGGGATGGCTTTCATCAACTATAGATCTGCACCCTTTTGACACTTTCACGTCCCCATACAAATCCACAATCATTCATTTCAACTTTGATGTAAAACAAATTAAGATTTTAGAGGGACCGATTCGCAACCCACTACTACCAACATCGATCTGCATAATCCAACAAGTGTGGGGTTGTATACAAAAGACGTCGATGCTATTAATAATTGAATCAATTATTATATGTTGTATTTTATTTTGTCAAATTTCTATGTGACTTTATATTTTTTTTAAACATACAATCATAACGATACAAATGAATCATTTTTTCTCTTTTTACTTTAATTTCTTTTTATGCAATCATAACGATACAAATTAATCATTTTTTCTCTTTTTACTTTAATTTCTTTTTATGTTTTAGCTAATAGTACACCAAACTTTTTCTTTTTTGTGGGGGTTGTGTGGTACTGTTGCCCCAAAGTTAACTTCGACAAAGAGTTATAGGCCAACCTCGATCCATCTTCAAAATCAATGCTAGGTGGTGCGGCTTCTTGTGTGGAGGAGGAGGAGGAGGAGATGAGTAGTGGTAAGGTTTCTTTGGTGGTGGTGGGGGTGGGGGAGATTTGTAGTGGTAAGGCTTCTTGGGTGGTGGTGGTGGGGATTTGTAGTAGTAAGGCTTCTTGGGTGGTGGTGGTGGGGATTTGTAGTGGTAAGGCTTCTTGGGTGGTGGTGGTGGGGATTTGTAGTGGTAAGGCGCCTTTGGTGGAGGAGGTGAATGTACTGGAGGAGGAGGAGGTGGTGAAATATAAGGGTTCAAATTAAAAAAAAAATCATATATGAAATGGATTTTAAAAATACACCCAAAACTCATTTACAACATAACAAAGAGGCTTTTTAACTTTTTTAACTTACAAAACTGCCATCGATTTCTTAAAACAAGCCCGATCCTAAAACCTCATTAAAAAACCCAAAATTCTCAATAGGGCATCAAAGTAATTTAATAATCAAAATTAAATTTAATAGGGCCAGATGTTATTCTTTGGGGTTTTTTTGGATTAGGAGGAGGTGAAGGGGGAGGTGGTGACTTGTAATGATAGGGAGGAGAAGCTGGTGGTGGAGGAGATGAGTAAGGGTAGTTTGCTGAGGTTTCTGATGGCAAACTGAGAGAAACTATAGCCACTAGGAGAGTGACCACAAGAGAAGTCACTGATGAAGATCCCATTTTCCCCATCTTTTTTGTTAAGAATGGGTTTTTGGTTTTCTGCCTCTTAAGCAAAGCCTCCCTCCCTTTATATAGCTTTGGTCTTTACCCTTAACTCTATGGTAATCATGCCAAGTTTCACTTGCCAATGATCAAATTATCTTAGTAAAAAACAAGATTAATGTTAAAATAACACTAATGGGCCAGCCTATGTTTGAACAGCTTATTAATTACAATATTTGACCAATGAAGCAGCCTTGACTGGATTTTGTTTAAGCCCCCACTTCTTAAAAAAATTTATATCTTTCTTAATGGAATAGAAGCTTCAAGGTAATTAAACACTAAAACAAGTCAGGAATATGTTAAGACTTCAGAAGGATGAATCCGCGATCTATTACTACGAAACAACATCATATCTTCAATTTAATTACACATATAGATCGTGTGAAGTTTTATAAAAAAAAAGTTACTAGTAGTGAAATCACTCATATTCTTCTTCGACAGAATAAACCTATTATCACCAAAGGGTGTGACCTTTTTTACTTGAAGGCAATTTAATGCAATAAGAGTACGTGGGGGCAGAACATGAAGCTTTATTCAATAAAAGTATAATATCTAAACCACAAGTCTTCCCTTGTTTGTGTAATATTTCTCACGGTACGTAGACAACTTTGAAAAGTGTGTGTGGTTGGCCTAACTTTCTATGATTTTTGCTCTACACACAGGGACCAGGCGGCTGCAACTCTCTCTCTCTCTCTCTCTCTCTCTCTCTCTCAAATGATCCAAAGCTTTAGTACGTAGGCTGTCACATTCGCACAGCTTTAATTAATTTTCTGGAATTTCTCTGACTCTGGAGGTTTAAGATAAGCCCATTTGCCTTAATCATACAAGTTAAGGACTAATTAATCATTTACAAATACGAACTAGTTGTTCCAAAACAATTACCGATGACTACAGATTAGAGGTCTTAGATTCAAATTTCCATGGCATTATAACTGTGTGTGAGAAATCTTCATCATCTCTAATTTCAACCATCGCATACTAGAAAAAGAAAAGATATATATGCTTTAAAAATTAGTGTGTGAATATGGGGGAAATTGGTCAATTTTGCAGCACATTTTGGCTAAAACAATATTTTCCTCACATATACATGTGCACCGTTTAAGATCCTTGAGAATTGGACCTAGTATTATATGGCTTTGGTTCTTCCTTTTTGCCATACTTTCTTGCTTTTTGTTTTTCTTGTTATTTTCTAGTGTTGCTTTGTTTGCCAAGTTGCTATAGAAAATGCATTTGTCGAATTTATCCTAATTGGTTCTGAGTCCAACAATGACAAGATGTGGATGATCATCGAACAGGCATACAATACTTCCTTTTCTTTTGCGTGTCTTCTGGATTTTAGCTCCTCTCCCTGCTCAGTCCCTCTCCTTGAAGTTTAAAAGTTTGTATTTTTCCTCTTATCTTATGCATATATACATGAATTCTTTCTGAAAAGTCTTCCCTTTTAAAGGGATCTCCATAAACACATTTCTTCCCTATGAGTTATTGTCTCCATAAGAATCCTATATGTAATAATATACTACACCAATTTGTTATGTAAGGACCATTGATTCAATTGATACGTATCCAAGTCAAATAGACTTATTTGGAGGGTTCTTACGTAGAATTTTCTTCGTATAAAAGATACCCATAATTGAGAGAAGGAGGTTCACACTCGAACTCTTGCCACTAATGTGTGAGGGTAAATGCTCTATCATTCGAGAAAAAATAAATATCTCTATACTCAACTTTGACCACTTTTTTTTATACAATACAATATATAAGCAATGATCCAAAATTACTTTCTGTCAAGAGAACGTTCCTTTACGTAACAATATTTATATTGACCCTGTCATCATAATATATGTATACCCATCCATATAAATTATAATTATCTGATTAAAGAAGCATTTTGTTATGGATCATATGGTACATACACATATAATTAGCTGACTAAACAATAATCGGGTTCATAAAATTAATTAGTTTTAGGGTTTTGATAATGATGATGATTAGACTAAAAAGTCTCCTCCCAATGCAATATCAGCAAGTCGTTTTATTTTATTTTATTTTCGTACCAGAACAAAATATATTATCTCCAAGACACCGACACGAAAATGAAAGCGTCAAAATGAATTTTCATAGGCTGGGAGAAATTATAATACTGGCTTTCGTAGACTGCATGAGGCATCCAAGTCAAGAGATCCAAGACAAAGGCATCCAAGTCAAGAGAGCCAAGTGTCTTGGATTGTTTGTGCATAAAAAACACAGAAGATATGCATTCATTCATTTAATATATAAATTATTTAGATTAGGCGTATGTGGTTTATGAATTTCAGCACTCCGGTCCATATGAATACGTGTCTGGTCTGCCCCTGTTGATGTTTTGTGAAGGATTTTTGAGTCCTGGACAGACTTTTCAAACGGGATGGATGTAGACTCTTTTTTGCTACTTAAAGCTAAAGCATCTCTCTGTTGCAAATAATTTCTTTTTCGAGTAATTTTTCAATGCGATCGTAACGGAGCTACATAATATTTATCAATTTTCTTTAACGTATGCATGTCAATATGAGTAATTTTTCGTTGCGATCAAAACATAGCTACGTAAAGTACGTATATTAATGTCAATCTTTATATTATAATACGTGAATTATTAACGTTCGCATTTCACTATCACCGGACAAAAAAAATTCATATTTTTTTCTTAACATTGTTAACATGTTAGGCGTTTATTTTCGTTTTGGGGATTTAAAAATGCTAAATGTCGGGCATATTTCTAGGATGTTAGGCATATTCTGCTCAAGATTCCGTGAAAAGATTGAAAGCTTGAATTTTTTATGGTCTGAAGATGAAAGAAAGAAGATTGAAAGCTTGATGAATTGATGCAATTGACATACATACAGTGCCACGTGGATCATGTGGAATTTATCTATTTTACCCTCCCAAAACACAAACACGAACATGATCTGTCAGTGAGTGCATGCATGGAGAAAGAAAGTATCCAAAGTCGGACATAATTAAAGGAGTATTTTTAAAAAGTACTTTTGTTTTCTGATTGAAGGATTGGGACCCACACAGTACATGAAGGCTTCAATCTTTGCTTCCATGGTGAACAACATCTCACATTTTCAATTCTGTACAGCAGCCTCAAAAGCAAGCAATGGCCTTATCATGTTGTCATTCTAAAACCAGGGAAAAACAAATCCTTTGGAAATTGGAAATAATGGAAAAAGTAATTTAAGATTTTGTTTTTTTGATGTGTCCTCATGTAATAATTCACGCATGTTTTGGGTTCTTACATTGTTATAATTAAGTTTTGTTCATTCAGACACTAATTATGTTTAATGATTCAGGTAGTGTTTGCATGCGTAGGCTTCTCTATAACAAATATATGTCTACCTAAATCAATCTCCTAAATCCTGTTTTACTAAAAAGTTTGTATGAAACAGGGGATAGCATTGTTTTTTTATTCTCGGTCAATCATAGACTATTATGTGAAAAAATTATCACGCATAGCATAACGTGATTGGCTGGAAATAGCAAAAAAATGTTATCTCCATTTCATGTAAGTGTTTTTCCTATTTTACATCTTTGGCAGGTCATAATTTCACCCATGGCCATGGTCGTGGTAGATGTGGAAATCATACGGGTAGAGGGTAGAACTTCAAGCTAAGTTCATGAAAGAGGAAATGGTTATTCAAACAATAATTTTTTTTTAATAAAGGAAACTGAAAACGATAGTTAATCTTAATTGGCTATGTTGAATGTTGAATGTTTTCACTGCCACAAACCAAGTAAAAAAAAAGAAAAGAAAATGTCGGTTGTAGAAAGTCCAAAAATTAAACCAGTATTATGCCAAGAATTGATTGGATCAAATACAATTGTTTATTAACTAACATTTGAGTTAGTGGTAGTTGTCTCCACTTAGTTAAGGAATGTCTCAGATTCAGCTCACATAGATGACGAGAACAATATATATTTGCGATAAGTTCGACACAACTGATAACTAACCTTTGAGTTAGTGGTAGTTGTCTCAACTTAGTTAAGGAATGTCTCAGATTCAGCTCACATAGATGACGAGAACAATATATATTTGCGATAAGTTCGACACAACTAATTTCATTATGGTGGTGTAGCCTTGTCGGACAAAACTTACATATATCCCTAGTAAATTTGTTATTTGAATGAAATAGAATCAATTAATCAAATCCAGTAAGTGTGTGTTTTTCCTGTGCTCTCCTCTCCCAAACTTTGGGGGTACCTCCTAATAAAGTAATTTTTGTGTTTTGGCTGCACCGTCATGTTAATGTAGTGCCAAATGTAGTAATACCAAATATTTGGAATCATGGACATCGAATTTACTGACAAACCCAATTGGACCCGAGTGATATAAGCTTCTCTTTGTTTTGTTTTTTACACTTTGGTAGGTAACCATACTTTTTTGTTTTTGTAAAACTTTATTTTATTTATTTATACCCCGGGAAGGAGGACTCGATCGTGGTGAGATTCCTTGCATAAAAAAAAATATAGAGAACTAACTACTATATTTTATCAATAGTCACGAGTATTTTTTTGGTATGCACGTTACACCGTCACATATTACAATACTAAAATATAAACTTATCATCCACTTATATTTTATTAATTAGTAATATTACGTCACGGTGTGGCATTGTTTAGAAACAAAAATTTCTCACATCACCGCACCATCCTTTGTCTCTCAACCATAGTTAACGCTGCATTAAATACCCATCAAATAAGAACAGTAGACCTGGGCCCTATGGAGGAAGAAATACCAAAAGATGACTTGGAAATATACCAAACCCAGACCATGCTTCCATCTAATCCAACTTCAAATTCTGAACCTATTCCATGCAACGACTTAATGCTGTGGGGGCAGCCCTACAAGTTGCAACATCTCTTTCTAGTTTACCCTTTTCTTCATTTTTCATCACAACTCTTTATTTAGCCAACAGTCATATTCGAACGAAATGGAAGCAACCCTCATTGCTTAGACATTTTCCTGCTTCATGAAATCAAA